GCTATGGGGGAGTTCAGACAACCGAACCCCGTACAGTTTCAGGGTTACAAAAGCAATGTGGCAGGTTTAAGTGCCGTATCCTCACAAAACCTATCGGCTGGCCTTAAGGCCGCGGCCACCGAGGCGGAAAGGTCTGCACAGGCTATTTCGACCCAAGCTTCGGAAGTTCGATCAGCGGCCTTAAGTCAGGCGGTAAGCAGCGCTATGGCTAGGCAAGATGCCAGTTCAGTAGAGCGTGGGTGGAGTGAGTCTGGTGCGGGGAGTTTTACCCAAGGGCGGGATGCGATGCAGCAATTAACAAGTGATATCAGCAAATCAACGGGTGCGAGTCAGAAAGAGGCATTTGATATGATGGTGGGAGCTAACGCCTCCACCCCCGGCAGCTTTTTGGCTGGAATAAAAGGTAGCATTGATAAGCGTTACGGAAGCGCAGCGGAAGCCAAATTTGGAAACTCAGATAGCTACAAAAATCAAGAAGGAATCAAAAATGCAGCCCAGTTTATGAGCACTTTGGAGTCTAACGAATCGGCCAGAACATCGGCTATGGGCGACAAATCACAAAGCCAAAGTGTAGGAGCCCAACTGGGTATTGCTAACTCCATGAGCCGTACCGCCTCTGCTGCACTGGAAAAATCCAAAGCCTACAGTAAAACTGCTGATGTCGCTGCATCGACGAATGCGACGCTCAGCGCGGATGCGATTGCCCGCAATCCCCAATTGGCTAAAGCATTGAGCAGTTTAATGGACTCCAATGGCTACAAAGATGCGGCGGTCTCTGGCATGCCGATTAGCGGCCAGCAGATGGAGATGATTACCCGCGTCGGTGCCAAGCATGGTTTCTCTCCGGTTGCGATGATGGCAATCAGTCCAGAAATGGCCAATCAGGCGCAAAGCGCTATGCCCTCTCAGCTGCTGGGAGGGGGTGCTACACCGAGTAGTCAGTCCGTACAAGGCGATTACCAGGGACATGCCGCCCAAGTATCCAGCCAAGGCAATCAGGGGGTTGCGGATCGTTGGGCAGACCGTCCCAGCGTGAATACAGGCGCACCTGATATGGGGGGTGTTCAAAACAAAGTGGAATCTGGACAGAGCTCAGCCAAGGGTGCAATCAGCAGCAGCGGGAGTAATATTTCCGGCAAAGGCCACTCTCTGCAAAGCGAGATTGCCACCCAGTTGCCACGAATCGATGGCGGCACTTTAAGCGTGCCGCAAAGTCAGCTTATTCAGACTGGCAAAATAGCAGGGACTGATGCAGCGAATACAGTCACCGGTGTTTTTGGCGCGGTCGTTGGCGGTGCGGATGCGTTTAGTACCTCTCCCCAGCCACCCAATACCAGTACATCGCCCTCTCCACCAAAAAAGCCCTAGGGGGAGCCCCTACCAAAGGTGGGGGCTCCCCGGGACAAGCAACTACGCAAAGCAGTAAGGGCCTATTGGGTAATTCTGGGCGCTATATGCCACCTCCAAGCAATACGCCGCGTGCGGATCTGTATCGTGCGGTAGTGCATACCGAAAGTCGTGGCCAGCGTTATGGTGCGGATGGCCAGCTTTTGCAGTCGCCAAGGGGCGCTATGGGTGAATGGCAGGTGATGCCAGATACGGCTAAGCAGCCTGGTTACGGCATCAAGCCTTGGGACGGAAAGAGCCATGACGATCTGGCTCGCGTGGGTCGCCAGAAGCTCGATGCGATGTTGGAGCGCTACGATGGAGACCATCAAAAAGCTATGGCAGCTTATAACTGGGGCGAAGGAAATGTGGATCGGGTTGTGGCCCGGGCCGATAGAAACGGCACGGACTGGCGCCTCCAACTACCTAAGGAAACCAGCAACTATGTGAGCAAAAACACCGCAAAAATCAATGCACTAACCAGACAGAAAGGCTCATCTTAATCTAGTTTTAAGAGTCAATCCTCAGAGTCGTCGTAGTGAATATTTCCAAATAAATACGAGTAGCTGAGTGAAGTACCACGCTCAAAATCATCATCCCAAAGTCCTTCACCGTTTTTAGGGCTGCTTTCCTTTTGTTTTCCCGTTGCTGTTGCCCAAATGGCGTAAACAGCCACCCAGGCAAAAAAGCCTAGAACTATAAAAGCGCCTAGATTGACGAAGATTTCTCTCATAATTTGGGAATTCTCTAGGAAATGGGTTTAGGTGTCAAATTTTTCGGCATTACGTCAGTTATCGTCGAAGATTCGGTCAAGCAACCCTGGTTGGTTCAGTCATTTCTGAGCAGTTTAAAAGTAGACTCGCTATGTGGGTATTTCGTCGAAAAAGCTCTAAAAAACAAAACGCAACGAATATCCACGTTACAAGAAGCTGCAGCAGTATGACCCGCCAAGAGCCAGTAAATCTCTCTTGGGTTGGTTTAAACGACATCTTCTTAAAATCAAAAAAGTGAATCTCAGCGCCATCACTGGTAGTCAGCACCCAGGCGTTGTCCCAATTTCTCGTAAGGTCTCCTTTGATCCGCTGATTGCTATTGAGCACAATCTCCACGTTTTTTTGAGGATTAGCGTGCGCATTCCATATGCCTCCATAAGTGGTGGCCACCCCAAGGGCGTAGCACCAAATGATGCTTGCAATAAAAATGCGCCCAATCATATTAAACCCTCCATCATCGGACTAGCTTGTACACGAGCAACAGCCCCACTTTTATGCACATTATCCAGACACCGAGAAAGTCAGTTGACAATCACCACAGATGATCTTCAACGCTGGCTTACCCCAAACCTGGTTGCCACAGCCCTCGCAACGGTATTTTAAGCGGGTCTGGTTGATATTGGGTCTTACTTCCATCAGCATGGGGTTTTGGCTTGCTGGTGCGTCACTCAACTGACTGGTATTTTCGTCTAAAGGATCATCAGAGCCAGGAGAGTAGACCATTGGGGTCGTGCGCTGAACACGCGCTGGAAAACGGTCATACCAACTGATCCTAAACGCCTTAGTGAGCAGGTCTTGACAGGCCGCGAGAAAGGGGCCGGGCACAATGTAGTGTGTCATCTGATCGCCAGTTTCCTTGCCTCCAGGCTGGCCCGTGTTAGACGGCATCAGGCCTATAGCCTTCATTTTCAGTCCCCACTCCTTGTTGTGGTAACCTCCCCTGCTCTTTTGCCCAAAATGGGCCTGCCACAGATGGCATTGTTCGTGCACCAGAGTCGATAGCACCTCCTCTATGGAATGCACAGCAAAGTACTCGGGATTCATGGCGATTTCATCTGTTTTGGCGCCAGATAGGGTCACAAAGCGCTCTGGGCTGAAATAGCCCATCGTCCGCTTATTGCGCTGCAAGGTGATCAGACATTCTGGCAATTGCCCTTCAAACAAGGCTTTATTGAACCAGTCATAGGCTCTTTGCAGCTCCGTATAAGCCTGTTCTGTAGGTTTATCGTTTTTTGTATCCATTTTTCCATAAATCATATGAATTGTATTGTACAATACAATTATAGCAACCATGTAGAGGTCTTTCACCACCAAATGGATACGCCCTCTGCCGGTGCGCCATAAAAAAGACCTCACGAGTGGGCCTTTTTTGTCAAGTCACTGGCTATGCATTATAATATGCATATATGCCAAGAATAGCCAAACCCCATCCGTTTCATTTGCATGAAGTGAGAAAGCAGCTTCGTACTCATCTGTCGGAGAATGAGATCAATCCTACAGAGTTTGCAAAGTCTGTAGGTATTACTCAGTCCACTATCCAAAGGTTTCTGTCAGGGCGGACGAAGAATGTAACTCCATTGATTAGAAAAGCCTTATTTTATGCAGGTATTGATGAGAAAAAATGCATAATTACGAGTACGGCTCATATTCAATCACATCCTAAAATTCTTGATGCCTTAGAGCGCGTATGGGATGGCAGTGAAGAAGCTGCTGAAACGTTGGCGAATGTGATCGTGGCCGTGGGTGGAGTTTTGGCAAACAAATCGCCGAGCCATCGCTCTTTGTTAAAGGACGAAATATGACTACCAGCAGTAAAATTGAATGGACTGAGCAAACGTGGAACCCGACGGTAGGGTGCACGAAAATTTCAGCTGGGTGTAAAAATTGCTATGCTGAAAATATGGCCAGGCGACTTCAAGCCATGGGTACGCCAGGCTATGAAAATGGGTTTGAACTTGCCCTTTTGCCATCCAGACTTGAGGATCCACTCTTGCGCAAAAAGCCAACGACCTATTTTGTCAACTCTATGTCTGATCTTTTCCATGAGCATGTTCCAAGTACGTATATTGAAAAAGTATTTGATGTCATACAAAGAACGCCATGGCACACTTACCAAATACTAACCAAGCGTGCAGCCAGAATGGCACAGTACTTTAAAACCCATGCCGTACCATCCAATGCTTGGCTAGGAGTTTCTGTTGAAAACAAAAAGCATGGTGTTCCTCGCATAGATTATTTACGGCAAGTGCCTGCTCAAATTAGATTTTTATCAGTTGAGCCATTATTGGAGAACATCGGAGACTTGGATTTAACTGATATTCATTGGGTGATCGTGGGGGGGGAATCTGGCGTAAGAGCCCGCCCAATGCAGTCAGAATGGGTAGAAAATATTCGCTTACAATGCGAAGATCAGAGGGTCGCCTTCTTTTTCAAGCAATGGGGCGGCTGGGGAGTAGATGGCAAGCGCAGAGCTAAATCAGCAAACGGTCGTTTGCTCAATGGCCGCACCTGGGATGAAATGCCAGAGCTTTCATCTCACGTCTGAAGGGTCGTATGTCACGCAAACCATACAACTGGAAAGATGGACCAGATTACATTCAACAACACAGCATCGCTAAGCACAGGATATTGCAGTCTTATCTTGCTGCGTATTTCAAGACTTTGGTCAGCTCTCCAAACCAAGACATCTTGCGATTGACCTTGGTTGATGGCTTCGCTGGTGGCGGTCTTTACGTACACAACGATACCAACGAGGTGGTCAAAGGATCACCATTCATTTTTTTGGATGCTACTCGCGAAGCCGAGTATTTAATCAACAAAGACCGTAGAAAGCCGGTACGGCTAGAGATCGACTATTTCTTTGTGGAGGCAGACAAACATGCGCATGCACATTTAGGTAAGGTGTTGCGCGATGGCGGATACAGCGACCAAATTGGCAACACTATTCATCTGCAGCACGCAAAATTTCAGGATCAGGCAGATAGTATCATTGAATTTATCAAGCGCAAGAGCCCGAAGAAAGGGCGCTCGATCTTCGCACTCGATCAATATGGATACAAAGAGGTCCCGACTTCACTGATTCGGAAGATATTTGCGAACTTGCCAAGTGCCGAGATTATTTTAACCTTCGGTGTAGATTCGTTTCTGAACTACGCCAGCGACGGGAGTCTCACGCAATCGCTGTTGGACGATATTGGAATTCCTGACGTTTTCAACGGTCGCTCGATGGAGGATATCAAGTCGTCTGAACGTGATTGGCGCTTGTTTATTCAAAGCAGCCTGTATCGCACGCTGGTCTCCCGGTGCGGAGCCAAGCATTTCACACCATTCTTCATTCGAAATAGCAGGGGGCATGGTGACTATTGGCTGATTCACCTCTCACAACACCACAGAGCACGTGATGTAATGACCGAGGTACACTGGAACAACAACAACTATTTTATTCATTATGGTGGGGCAGGTCTCGATATGTTTCAGATGGTGGGCTACGACCCTGATCATGATGCTGGTCACAAGGGTCAGGGTCTATTGGGGTTCGAGTTCGATGATGTAGCGAGAAAAGCCAGTATCAAGGCACTTAATGAGCAAATTCCTAGACTGGTTTACGCCAATGACGACGGAGTTAGCTTTGGTGTTCTGTTTGCCACTACATGCAATGAATCCCCTGCATCTGCTGAGATTTATCGCGAATCGGTTGGGTCTTTAATTGAAGAAAAAGTAATAGAGGTTATTAGTGAGGACGGCGTAAAGCGGCGTTCTGCCCAGCAAATTAAAGCAAACGATCAAATAATTGCACCTAGGCAGCGCGGATTGTTCATGCCTTGATGACACAAAAAAAGACCCCGCGAAGGGGCCTTATAGGATTACAGGTTCTCGCCTATCTTGGCGGGGACAAGTGTAAACGATTTTCCGAAAAACCTGCGTACAAGCTTGACAAAAGGCTATGTTTTTTATCCAATCATGGCTGGGGTGATTGGTGGCCTGTGCAAGTTTGATTGGTCCTGGTTCTTCTCGTGACAACTCCCTCCCCCTCCGTTGACCCTTGGATCAACATCCCTTTAGATGCCCGTTCCTGTGAGGCATCCACATCTTCAAGATCAGGAACGCAGGTACAAAATAGTAGTGAGTAGCTCTTGGAGCTCTCTTTCGATGGTCAAGTCGCGCTCAGCAGAGTTTCCGACTGGTACTGGCCTCGTTCGCACAAAAAATCATGACGCTTCGCACACAGCACGGCTTGGCTGCTGCACGCCAGGTTCGTGTACGCCAATCCATACCCTCCATACCCTGGGTTCAATTTCGCATATGGGTATCCACAGAATTTTGTATTTGTTTTTTGCATTTTTTTGATTAAAGGAAATTTGATGAGAAAGCTTTTTGCACGTTTCGCTCCCCTCCTGATGGTACTGAGCACATTGCTTGCCTGTGGCGGTGGCGGTGGTGGTAGCCCTGTTCTGAGCAACCCCAGCGCCACTCCAACTCCAGGTCCAGCGCCAACTTCGGCACCGGGCATAACGTCGAGTCCTGGCCCCACCGTCAGCCCTACCCCATCCACTCCTATACCTTTGACTGGCACCCAAGTTCAAAACTTGGTCTTGTCTGCCAATACAGCACACTATGCAACCGGCACAATAACTGTGGAGGCCATTGATGGTGAATATTATGTTCGAAATTTGCCTCAGGGCAGTGGCGATACGAGAACCGGGAGTGCGTTTCCAAACACGACCGCCAGTGGAGGTGGTTCGACGCTTGACCCTGTTTGCGACTTGGGCGGTAGCTACAATGCCAGCTGGAATATAGGCAGCAATACTGAGTTCACGATTGGTGATACCGTGTCTTTTATCTATACCGGGTGTAAGAAATCTGGTGGTGTGACGTATAACGGCACAGCAACCTATACTGTTGTAAGCAGCTCCAAAGATAGGCTTGCGATAACAGCCGCGTTTTCAGCATTTACCAGCAAGTCTGGTTTAGATACTCTTTTATCTCTTTCTGACAACACCCTGGGTCTTGTTCGCACAACGGGTGCCGATGGGGTCTATCCGCACACCTATACGCTGTCCGGCAGCCTGGAGGCCCTAGTGGCTCCAGGCAGCACTGTCGGCAATTTGGTCACGGGCAATTACAATATTTCAAACGCCAATTTCACGCTGAATTTTAGCTCTGCCACAGTGACTACAGCAGCAGCCAATTTTTCTGTGAACGATGGTTCCCGTGCATATACAGTAAACAACACTACGCCTATCACTATGACTTCAGGCACCGTCACTACGAATGGGGTCAATCAAATCACCGGCTATCAGAATGCGACCGTTACGGTGACTTCAGGTCCATCCAGCTCGGCTATTACGGGGGTGAATGCGGATGGCTCGGCCATTTCCAGTAGTATTGCTTTTACTTTATTTAACTAAACAAAATGACGATGAGGAGTTGCTTGCCTGCATTTGTTGATGTTGACAAACACAATTTTTTGTGATGGAATGAGGGCTGGTTCTTGTTACTCTTTGTAACTCCCTTTTTGTGAGCTTGCTCACTTTCCCTTTAGGTGCTTCGTTCCTGTGACGCACCCGTGTCTTTTCTGAAGACTAGGAACATTGTCTGTTATCAACCCGCGTGGGAAGAGATTCTCACGCTTATAGCGGGTCGATCTCTG